CTTTCCCTCTTCCTCACCAGCCTGAAGTCTTGTCAAGGATGTCACTAGTGGATGTGGCATTTCCAGTCAACTTACTCCCCCGCATTGATACTGCAGATGGGACCCCACTTCCCCACTTGTACAGGGTGGATGCTGTCCCACAGTGGCCACATGTGTCCCCATCCCTATAGGGCCACGTACCGCAAACACCAAGCTCCTAGTGGGATCTTCAGTTCCTTAGCCACCGAGAAAGGCTGGATGGTCAGTAAACCCTTTCTGTTTTTCAATTAAACTATTTATGAAGATAAACAGTGACCCATATGAGACAAAACAGCAGAATAAAGAAGTGGGAAGGATCCTTATTTTAAACACTTGGACATACAAGTTAGGCAGGAAAAATGTCTTGCACAGAGAATCTGAAAAGCTGCCTCTTTGACATTTGGGTGACAGTTTGAGGGGCTACTACCTAGACACGGAGCTAAGCGAACAGAGGAAGGGAGGAGCAGCCAGTGTGCACAGGCCGGCAGTGTGGGAGCTCCATACCCTTGCACATGTCATGTGGCTCCCTTCAGATGTGCAGAAGGGTAGAGAAAAATAAAGGCCCAGGGGTAGTCCAGGCCTCCAGGGTTTGCGGGCTACTCCTCAGGGCTCGTCCTTGTTCTTGCTAGTATCACCATAGCCAGGAACAGTTCTGTGCCACACCTGCCTCCTGGGGGAGTCATGGCAACAGCATCCCTTCTGGGTGGGTTTCAGTGAGAAGGAAAAGAGTCATAAATACACACCAGAAATGAAGGGCCTTACTGATCAGAAACCTACAACCAGACTTCATGTGAAACCCTAGCAGTCGCCATGTGGAAGGGGACACCTGTGTTGTTCACACGGTCACCTTTTGTTAGGTATATTTTACTCTGCCCACCATAAGGAAGGAGTGGTTTCTTCTACAGGGTGTCCTTACTGAGTTTCTTCATTTTTAAGGGCACCTGTGTGTGTGCCTGTGCCCACAGCAGCCCCTTGGTGACCCAGAATGAGCAAGCTGCAACTCCCTGAACTCGTGGGGCTAGTGGGTGCCCAGCTATACGATGTGCTTGTCCATAAGTGTGTTAGTCAGCTTTCCTGTTGCTGAGAAACAGTACCCAACATGCACGATTTACAGGAGGAGAGGCTTATTTTGACTCACAGTTTCAGGAGATTCAGTCCATATTGGTTCTGGAGAAGGAACATCATGGTGGAAGGGCCTGGCGAAACAAAGACGCTTAGTTCGTGGTGGCCAGGAAGCAGAGTAGGGGAATAGTGTCAGAGTGGCCTTAAAGGGCGAGGAACCAGATATCGTCCCCATGAAGCCATGACCCATCCAGACATACCCAGAAGTGTGTTTTGCTAATTTCCTGGGCAGCTTCCAGGCCAATTAAGTCAAGGCTTGAAGCTCAGCCAACACAAGGAGTGAGTGGATCCATGAGCCAGAGCAACATGAGCTTATGAGCTTGGGAAGTAGTCAGTGAGCTGAAACCTGATCCAGGAATGTTCTTTTTAGAGGAGAATTAGGAGTGAAAGCCTGGGTTAATTTCCCACATTATTGCTGGGGCCCACAGGTGCAGGCCAAGCCCTACTGTGCAGTGTGGACCTATGTGTGGGTTTTACATGCAGTATGCTCCTGGGGAGACCAGTGCACCTCACCCAGAGCGAAATACTTCCTCTGTGCAGGGTTAGGTCCCAGGCCCGTCTGAACCAGATCGTCTCGTCTCCAGATAGATCCTCAGCATCCTGGTTACAGCTGTCCCTGAAAAGCTGCTTTGTGCTCAGAGCTCTAGAGTGCTCTTACTCTGTCTAATTCTGACCCAGTGCCTCCTGTAATCGCCTCTAAAGGAGTTGGATGCTGAGCGTGTTGAGGCTCATGCTGCCCCAGGCCTCCTCCCAGCCCAGCAACGCCCTGGGTGCGTGGAGTTGGGTCCTTGGGGAAGTAAGCAGTGCTTCCATCTGGTGCTGTCTGCAGATGGGAGTGTAGTATTGGGGGCTGCTTTGCAATAGTGGAATTTAGTGTCTGGAAGGTCCCCTTGCCTACTTGGTACATGGAATGGCCTCATCTTCCAGATGAGAATGAGAAGTGGGGAAGGAACAGTGGAAGTTTGAACGCACCACTGTGAACCTGCAAACAGTGAACTGAGTCAGGTCACCTGGGAGCAGCCCATCCTGGGCTTGCTGTGACCTGGCCATAATGAAATATTGGGCATGTGGAGTGCCCACGCACAACTCACTTGACTTAGGGTGGTGGATTCCTGTGATTAAAGACCCTGAGAGGGCCACTTTGGAGGTGGGGTTGGTAGAGATGAGTTTGTGCTTTCTGAGCAGTGGTGCTGGGGTACATGGCTCATGAGGGACACATGTTGGTCTGCTTCCCTTGTGTGAGTGACTGGTGTGCTGGGCCTCTGGAACACTCGGCTAGAATGGAGCTGGGGACAGGGAGCACAGCCTGGTGAGGAAGCATCTCCCTGCTGGTCGTGCTGCCCTGCCTGTGACTGCCTCTCTGTTATCCGTATTCCCCATCCTCAACCCCCTCCCCGAGTTAGGTAGACTGTTTCAAAGGAGTCTAGTCTTCTGTTGTCAGTTTCCTCTGATAACACTCAGTTCCCACCCCAGCGGAAATCATGGGGTCCCACGGCATCCCACCCTCCATGATGGCTGGGATAGTCCACCCGGTGTTTAGCCAGATGTTCCTTTGAAGATTTGTCATTTACTCCCATTGACACTTGGATAACCCAGGTTTATACCACTCACTTTTAATTTGTTACTTAGGTCTTGGTCAGAGGTGCTGGCAGTTTTGTTGTTTTCCAGTCCTTTTGGGGCATACAGTTGGGGGTTTTTGACCCTGGTGCTTAGAGTCCACACTGCCCCCATGCAATGCTGGGTTACACCACCTTCTGATTCCACTTGGGAAATGAACTGGTTGTCTCTAGTGGTCTGTGTTTTCATCAATCTTTATTCTTTTAATGCAAGCGCCCCCCGCCATTACTTATTTCCTGTGAATATTTAAAAATGTAACATATGAGCGTTACTCTGAACTAAACGACGTGTAAGGCCACCTTTTCCATGTTTAATTCGAAGTTAAGTATACTTTTGTGGCAGTGGCACTGTCTGGGCCCCGTGTGCTTTCTGAGCCATGCCCGTGCCTACTCGTGATGGACAGGTGTACCTGGCTCTGCTTGGACACCAGCACTCGGGAGCTGACAGAAATCCGGCTGTTTCTTCTTCCTGTGTCCCACCTGCTTATCAGCTCCTGTGATCACCACATCCGGGCCATGCTTCCCTATGAATGTAACCCTTTAAAATTGCTTACAAGTGGCTCATTAACTGCCTTGTACTTGAAAGTGAGCATTTGTTACCGAGCTTCTTCCCATCTGGGTTTAGCACCTTCTGTGGCAGGTGCTTTTCCACCTAAGAATCTTTGGAATAGATTTTTGGACTAATTTGATAGCATTTCTAAGTCTTTCCTTCAAAAATATACTTAGAACATTTTAAAAGAACATTCCAAATGCTTAGATAGCGACATTTGACTGAACATTAAAAATCTTATTTAAGAAAACCACTAATGGTGGGCTTTCTTTTTTGTTTTGGTGCCAGGAATCGAACTCAGGACCTTGCGCTTGCAAGGCAGGCACCGGAACCACTGAGCTAAATCCCTGGCCCCAATGGTGGGCTTTCTTAAAAACAGATACCTAACATTTAATCAGTCTACAGTGATCTGGCTATGCGATAAAAGGCCCCCAAAGGTTTGTTGGTGGTGAAGAATCAATCTTGTGTTCTGTAGTTCAGAGTTTTATATCTCTAGAATATCCACCCACCTCCTGAAGTTTGCTGTCTGGATGTAAATAAGTCTGAGGTCCTAAAGGCGGACCTGAAACAGACTTTGGTAAATCATAGTATGGACCCTTGGGGGGTTGTCTTGCCTGACTTTGGAGAAGCTTTGTCACCTGCTGTGGTCATGGTTAGCACTGTGCTGGGCCCTTCTTGGTTGAGACAAACAGTGCTCCCACGCTAGGCCTCCGCTTGCCACCACTGCATCCTGTGGTTGACGAGGTGAGTAGCATGGCCGAGCCCTCACTCCCAGGCCTCTGTAGGGACGTGGCATCAAGATTCTGGACTTGCACACTGGCTTTTCTAAGAGAGACTGGGCTGGCCTCACTGCGGGATTAGGCGGACATCACAATGTGGGCTGCAGTTGCTGAGGCAGATGCTGGAGTCCTCTACACAGTGGGTTGTGCCCAGTCCTGCCTGTGTGACCAGCATTTATAGCTGACCTCTCTGGTCCTCCCTCCGCCCTTTCCTTCCCTTCCTTCCTTCTTTCCTTTTCTCCTCTCCCTCCCTTCTTTCTCTTTCTCCTTCCTTCCTCCCTGCCTTCTTTCCTGGCTGCTTTTCTCCTTGCTTTCTCAGATTGAACTCAAGACCTTTGTGCTGAGCTGCATACCCAGCCCATTGTTATTTTGAGACAGGGTCTTGCTAAGTTGCCCAGACTGGGCTTGAACTTGCTATCGCCTGACTCAGCCTCACAGAGTGCTGGATACACAGGTGCGCACCACCACACCTGGCTCTGCTCTGGGTTTCTTACCTTAAAATGACAATGGGTGATCTCAGATTCCAGGAGACCCTTGCCATGTAAAGTGTTACGTGGTTACTATCAATTAAGTTCTTCTCATCATTTTTAGTATAACAGGTCACCTTCTGTTAGTGTAGTGACATGTACCTAGGTACGCAGCTATTATCATTTTCCCTCAGTCTTTTGAGTCATTTTAATGGATTGAAAAAAAGAATGCCCAAGGTAGCATTGCCAGGTTCTTATTTGGTTGGCTTCTGACAGAGCTGTTGAGAACAGAGGCCACCCAGGAGCTGCCTGTCCTACCCTGACCTCGCCTGCCTCTGTGAACGCCAGGCCAGTACGTCTTGGCTGTGCTTAACTGTTCAGTTTCCTGTGTCTTGTTCGATTCTGATGAGAAATGGTAACTTCCCCTTTTACATTTTGCATCCTCCAGGGGGACAGCCGAGGCGCTGCTGCTCTTCTGAAGAGGTAGCATCAACTGTGCTGTCCAACGGAGACCAGAGTCACCAACTTGGAAATAATCCTCCAAGAAAAGACACCAGCGAGTCCAAGGTGGGGATTGCAACTTCTGTGTCCGTACTTGAAAACAGTAGCAGAGAGACTTCCAAGCGTCCTGAACAACGTAGATTTTCTCTTGACCTAAAGATGCCAGCATTTCACCCCACGCAGGAGGTGCCCAGCTCTAGTGATGGTGTGGACTTCCCTTCGAGTACAGAAGGAGCTGACCTACAGCTCACATTGGAGAGCCAGGCTGGTCATCCTAAAGACAAGCTGTCCGATTTGCACAATAAGGAGCATTCTGGGGGAGGAAAAAGTGCACCGGCCCCAGACCTGGTCCCTCTAGATTTAAGTGCAAGGTCGACCCGGGATGACTCCAGCAATAAGGAAGTGGCTACCTCCCTGCAGGCTGCTCTGGTCATTCACCCATGTCCTTATTGTAACCACAAGACCTACTACCCAGAGGTCTTATGGATGCACAAGCGCATCTGGCACAGGGTCAGCTGCAACTCCATGGCCCCCCAGTGGATTCAGCCCAATGGCTACAAGAGCATAAGAAGCAACTTGGTTTATCTTGCCCGGAGTGGACGAACAGGGCCTCCACCTGTCCTTGGGGGCAAAGAGTGCCAGCCCCTACTCCTTGCTCGCTTCACCCGCACTCAAGGGCCAGGTGGGGCACCTGGACCCAAAGGCATCTCTTCTCCCCTGGGAGTGACCACGAAAGCGGCTAGCATGCCTAAGAATAAGGAGAGCCATTCCTCTAGCCCCTGTGCACTGTGGGCACCTGGCCCCGATGGCTATCGACAGACCAAACCCAGCCAAGGTCAGGAACCCTCCAGTGCTTCAGTGCAGGGGCCCCCAGCCAAACCCAAGCTGGAGGCCAGCTCCAAGCCAGCACCTGCCCTGGGCAGCGGAAGCCTTGGCAGGAGTGCCACCCCCACACCCTCTGTTATAACTCGGGTGGGTGCCCAGCCCTTGGGCAGCAGCAAGCCGGTGGAGAATTTTGGGGTCCCGTTGGCAGGGGCTGGCTTTGCCCCTCCAAATAAGCACAGTGCCCCGGACTCCCTGAAAGCCAAATTCAGCCCTCAGCCTCAGGGTCAGCCTTCTGCGAAAGGCGAAGGGAGCCCTCCTCTACCTCTCCGAGAGCCCCCCTCGAAGGCGGTCCAGGAGCTGAGGACGCTGGCCACCTGTGCTGCAGGGCCTAGAGGGGATCCAGCCTTGCAGGCCCAGCCTGGGATGGCCGCAGCACCCCCCGTCTTACACTCCATCAAGCAGGAGCCAGTGGCTGAGGGCCACGAGAAGCGCTTGGACATCCTCAACATCTTTAAGACATACATTCCAAAGGACTTTGCTACACTCTATCAGGGCTGGGGTGTCAGCAGTCCCGGGCCAGAGCACAGAGGTAAGATGTGCGGGCTCCCTCCTCCCTGGCCACTCGGGAGCTCCTGGAGTCCCTGAGGGCAATCACAGGCTCTTTCCTCTTGCAGCACAGCTGCTGTCTTCCTTTGCCCTGGCTGGCAGGAGTGCTTCCCTATGGGGACTCTGCCCGGGTCAGTGGTGTCCAAACACGTGCTTCCTGCTTCTGACAACTGGGAAACCCAGTGACGTTCCCGCCACACTGAGACTTGATGGGAACAGGCAGGCTTGCTTGCCCTTCATGCTTTATTATCATTTTAAATAAAGCATTGGTAGATGTTCATTATCCTTCTTTCTCAAGAAAGAACAATGTCCATTTGAAGTGATTTTCTTATTTTTGTACAGAAATGATTTGAAACCTACCTAAACAGTACTCCAGAATTAGTTAGCAAAGCTGTGCAGAGGATGCAGGTTTCACCTGAAGTCAGGAGAACTGAGTTATGCTAAAATTCCTGAAAAAATACTCCTTCCAGTGGCTTCCATTCCTCCCACTCTTCGTATTGATAACTAATAGTAATGCTGGTTGAGTTTCTTAACTGTAATACTTGGAAGTAGGAGTATGGATTTTGGATTCTTTTGATTTTGGAATCTTAGATTTTGGAATCTTCTAGATTTTGGAATATTTTCATATATATAATGAGATATCTTGGGGATGAGATACAAGTCTAAAATCAGAATTCATTTATGTTTCATATTCTTATAACTGGAAGATTATTCTTCACAGGAATTTTAATAAGTTTGTGCATGAAAAAAAGTTTATACATCGAACCATCAGATGTCAGGTATGGAATCTGCTACTTGTGATGTCATGTAAGGACTCAAACATTTTTTTGAGTTTTGGAGCATTTTGCATTTTGGATTTTCGATTTTGGAGTAAGGATGTTTACCCAGTACTAATAAGGAATTTCCAGTAGTTTTCCTCATTGGCTATACCTTGAGTACGATACCCCTGTTCTTTAAACACATGGAACACTGACTGGGAAGTGTAGATTCTGTTAAAAAGTAGAACAGATGAACCCCCTGTGGGACGCAGTCCCTTAGTTTCCTGGGTGGTCCTAACCCTTCTCTGAACAGAATACCTGCTGTTACCCTATAGTTCCTTAAAGCAGGTCACCACTGAAATAGCCTGGGAGACCCAGGCCCTCAGACTTGCTGGGAATTTGGAAGCACTGTTGGGGGTTGTGGTCCAGGCCTGGGGCCATCTGCTGCCAACAGAGCACTCCGCTCCCCAGTTCATGGTGTGACGATACCCAGTGGCCAGAGGTGGTGCCAGCTAGATTGCCCAGGCATGCAGCCGCCAGCAAGGAGTAGAGTGTCGCCTTGGGTCTGTGCCTGGTCCGGGGAGGCTCATCTGAAGGTGTTTTCCAGCGGAGGACTTGCAAGCACTCTGCACTCCTGGGCGTCAGCAGTGAAGGCCTGAGTGAGGGGCCCTCTCTCCCTGTTTCTATTGTTTTCTTTGCAGTAGTGGGGGACTGAACCCAGGGGTGCTTTACCACTGACCTACATCCCCATCCCTTTTCTTATTTGTAGTTTGAGATGTGATCTCACTCAGTTGCCCAGGTGGGACTTTGATCCCCCTGCTTTAGCCTCCCTGAGTGCTGGGATTGCAGGCCTGTGCCCATCCTCTGCCCCTGTGTGAAGATACTGTGTTTGCCCGTGAGCTCTAGACAAAGTTTAGGCTGACCGCCTGGAGTGCTGAGCTGTTGTAGGAGTGGCCCAGGGCCCGGTGTCAGGCTCTTGTCTTCTCTCAGGAGTGTGCTATGTGTGACAGTGTCACCTGCAGCCTCTCACAGGCTGGCAGGAGACAGCTACCAGTCGTTCCACACTTCTCCCATTTCAGTTCTGCCAGTGGGTTCTTTGGGCTCTGCAGTGTTCTGCAGTCCTGCAGGCTGTTGCTGTCAAGGGCATTGCTGGTGCGTACTGGCCTTGGGGTGGGAGGACACCTCACCTCTGCAGGTGTGGGTTTCCAAAGGAGAATGGCAGAGATGCTTGTTGTGGACCCTGGTTCTTAGCGGCTCCTCACCCTCTTGTCCTGTTCTTCCTGTACTGCACTAGATGTTGGCACTGGGTTTAAATGACTGTCACAACATGAGCTGGCCTTGTCATTTAATTATTTACCTGGTAATGGCCTCCATGAAGTGTGCCACTTTGCCCTTGTATGTGAGGGTGAGGTGGCCAGAGTGGGGAAGGACTTGCCACCCTCAGGTGACATTAGCTGTGGTGGACTTCTGTTGGTCCTGGTCTCCGTGGGCCACTCACAGTGAGCTGAGAGCACCTCTCTGAAAGTCTTCTGCTTCCGAAGTCCTTTCCTGAGTCAGACATCCTGCCCTCTAGAGCCTGGTTTTTCATTTTCCCATGTTCCAGTCTTGATTTACAAAGCTTCTGAAGTGCTTTGGCAGGGAGGAAGCCCAGCAGGCTTAGAATGGTCTGACCATTTGTGAGGTGTGTGAATATTGATGTTTCCTATTAGGGGGAGTCTGTGACGGTCATGTGGCTTAGGAAGTTATGTGCAGCCAAAGCAAGTGCGTTGTGGACGTGTTCCTGACTGCATCAGAAACTAAGCTTCTGAGGTTTTGTTTTTCCATTTGCTTCTGCTGAGCCTTCTTCTTTGCCGTGTACAGACACAGTTCATTTTTACTTAGGCATCTCAATGCCTGTTTTGTTCATCCTTTGTCAAATGAATCTTTCTACCTTATGACACAAGCGAGCAACACATTTTGGATCTTTATACTGCCGTCTGATGCATTTGCAGTGTATCTCTTAGTTGGTATCACCTGCAGATCTAAAGGTCATAGCTTCTCTACATAGGGCACTGGCTAAATGTACAGCTATCATGTCATCCTGTAGTTAAGGGAGGCAAAAATGTGCAGTGGTGTCCTTAGAGGTACAGAAGGCTGTGGCTGCCAGCAGTGTGACCATGGACACATGCAGAGAGCTCGTGGTTTAGTGCTGTCCTAGGCACCAGGCTTTATTCAGAAATTAAGAAAGCTGCTTCTCAGAGACTTGTCTCCCCCTGCCCCCCACCCCACCCCCAGGTTTGCCTGGATGATGCTTCTGAAGGAGTGCAGCATCTAGAAAGCCCAGCCAGAGTGGAAGGACAGGACTGTGGTGCCTCCTCACTCACTGACGAACCCTTTAAGAGCAAAAGCACTATGCTTTCTGTAATCTTTCTACAACCTGACCATCAAGTCTGGAAACATGTGAATATAACATAAATGGATTACTGATACAGTAGCACTAAAATAATAAATTATCTGTGCCTCCAGGCTTTATGGTCTGTCTATATTACATGATAATACGGATCTTATAATAAGAATTTAAGATAATGAGATGTGATAATTCTACATAAAATAATGCATAAGATCTTTCTGATTGGGACTTTCAAAAAGTCTTTTGTACCAAGGGTACATTGATGTGGCCATGATGAAGGTGTGTGCTTGCCTAAGCAGTTGCATATTTTGGTAGAATCTCTCTGATCTCCTCTTTCCCCTTACAGATGACATGTTGCATACAGTATGGGCCAGGTCCTTTTCCTTCATTTTAAGGCCTCTTTCTGTCTGCACCTTGAGTTTCTAGGTCAGCATGTTTGAGCTGTTTGCTCACCAGGTAGTCTTCAATTCAAATTAAGTTTATAACCTTTTGATTAACTCAGAATTTTGGAGGAGCTCGGGCATGAATTTACTGACCATAAAGGGCAAGTGTACTTTCTTTAAAAAGTAGAGAAAGTGATACGGTAGTGCATGGAAAAATTGTGTGTGTGTGTGTGTGTGTGTGTGTGCACGCATGCATGCATATGCATATACTGAAGAACAGAAGAATAGAGGTGCTGTGATTTTTCTGCTGCTAATTTGGATAGGAAATAGTAACTAACAGTACTTTAGTAGAAGAATGTTAATGACTTAGTTTTTAGATGTTGTGACTGTTGGATACAAATGACATTGTTCATCATCACCATCATTAGGTATCTCATGTAGGCATAGTTGGAAACTACTATCTGGAACATACCTAGGAAAATCCAGATAACCAGAGCAGCTCCCAGAGGCTTGATTGGCCAGCTGGTAACGAAACTGGGGAACACAGTCACTTTTCAAGTTGAAATTTTTCCTTCACCAAAGTAAGACAAAGGAAAGCTTTTCCATTCAGAAAGGTTAAGAGTGTCAGCTATTTGACAGAAGCTGACCATTGAAAAGTTTTTCTGCAGTGTAGAAACCAAGAGCCCTGATTGTGAGCACCAGTCTCCTTGTAGTGGGTGTGGCTGGCTGCCCAGGTGGTCCAGGGGAGCTCCCCACACTTTTCCTTCCTCCTGTGACGCTTGGTTAAGTGTTAGTTCTGTGTACATTTTGCATGTTAACTCCTTACCAGATGTATGGTTTGCATATATTTTCTCTCATTTGCTGGGCTGTCTCTTTACTCTGTTGACTGTTTCCTTGCTTGCTTTCTGCTCTGAGGCAGTCCCATTTGTCTGTTTCGGTTTTTATTGCCTGTCCTCATGAGGTCATACCCAAAACATCGTCACCTAGGCCCAGAGCTACAGAAGGAGAATCTATGAAGTAGCAGTCTTATGGGTCATTCAGGACACCAAAGGTCATCCCACAGAGTTAACTGCACAGTTTGTGAATGGAGCACTTGTTAACATTTCTCAGCGGCTTCTCACTGGTAGAACAAGCGTTAGTTTAAAATTTTGTTACTATTTTGTGTTTGGGTGTGTGTATGCGTTCCTGAATAAGGCAATGGGAAATCAACTGCTTAGTGGGCAAATTCTCATATTTTTTTTTAAGACTGATTTTCATGATCTGTCAAATGAGAAATTACACAAGATCTGCCTCACAGGCTGTACATTTCCTTCATTACATTGTTTTGATTTGCATAAACATGACCTATCATGTAAAGTGATTTTGCATTATTTTTTATATGTTGAGCCCACTTTTGAGTTACAGCAAGAACAGTAGTGAAGATCTGCTTTTCATCCAGTTTGACTGAAGTGTCCTTTTGTCATCCTTTTCATTTGCGTATTGTATTTAAATGTCAGACTGTAGAGACAGCTAAAGGAGCATCTTTTTTAAAAACATTGCTACAGGCATAACATGTTCTAGATAATATTTGTGTTTGCTTTCCTGCCCATTGAGGTGAGCTACCATTGAGCATGCCGGTTACAATGGACCCAGGGACTTTTCTTTGGAGCTGCCATTCCATGAAAAGTGAGCCATTTGTTTCCTTTAGGGAGAATGCCTCGAGACAGGACAGGTGTGCAGACAGGTAGCACACACCTTCTATATCCCTTTCTAAATAAAGGCCAGGTCTATGCTCGGGATCAGAAGGAAATTGGAATCCCAGGGCTTAAGTGCAGTGTGGTTGAGTGTTCTTGGGAAAAGGGGTTTTCAGTGTTTTCCACCACTTCTGACGGGGTGCTGCCTGTTGTTGGCTGGCTCACTGGGCTCCAGGTTTCCTCTGTGCTAGAGGCAGGCAGGTAGGAAGCCCAGAAGGTCCCAGTCCTGCTGATGGCTGTGCGTGGTTGCTCCACATCAATCTCCTGAGATCACAGCTGGGGTGCGAATGGGCTCTGGTCCTGGTCACTTCCTATTATCCATGCGCCTCATCTCTGTCACACTGATGTCACTTTGATTTGCCCGATGCTCCTTGACAGAGCTGGGTGATGGCTGGGCTGCCCATCCAGCTGCCTGGAGTTACATGCTGCCTTGCAGAGGTGGCACTTCCCTGTCTCTGCCCTGTCCCCGGAACAGTTTTTAATTCACTGTAATTTATGCACCCTTTAAGTCCTGCTGTGCCTGGCCTGTCAGCCGAGCCAAGACAGTGGCTGACAGTTGTCACTAGGGCTTAGAGGTGGCCTCCAATGCTGATACTTAAGGTATACTAATGTTATTTTCCTCTCCCTCTCCCCTGCCCTCCCACTTCCTCACCTCCACCCCAATCCTGCCATGGCCGCTCCACACCATGCCACACCACGGCAGGGACACTCCGGACACAGGCCCGCCCAGGAGACTTCATCTGCGCCGAGTGTGGGAAGAGCTTCCACCAGCCCAGCCACCTCAGGGCCCACATGCGAGCGCACACAGGTATTGCCACCCCACTGGGCACACGTGGCTCAGCCCAGTGGGGGCTGGAACGGGGGTCTCTTCTGCCAGTCATTTAATTGTCCACATTGTGGACGCATTTAGATTTCAGCTTCTATCTGGTGACAGTGCCTTCGGCCTCTGAATTTTGTACGGTGGTCCCCTACTCAACACCTGAAATGTTCTTTTTATTTTTGGCATCCAAGTGCCATGTGGTTTAATTCGAGATAAGCCTGTTTGCAAATGTTCCATTTTAATTAGAGTAGACTCTTCAGAAATGAATATGCTAATGAATTATATTGCCACTAGCACAAATGAAAATCAGAGCACCCTTCTGGCTTGATGTATGGCTTGGTTATATCCTGATGGACACGACGGGACCGTGGATACACCAGACCGCTCTTGATGGTCAGTGGTGTCTTGCAGAATCCTCAGCCCTCTGTGACGAGCTTGCTGGAGATTGGATCAGGCTGTGCTGTGTGTGTCAAGATAGGGCAGGAGCACTAGAGAGACAGGGAGACAGGCGCTCTTCATCAGAATTGCGAAGGGCACACCAGAAGCCAGCCTGATGCAAAATGACACGGGCCAAATGGTAAGTAATGCAGGAGGAGCGTCCCTTTACACACACACTGATAATTAACGTTGTCAGTGATTGCTTTCTTCAGCAGTGGAGTCTGAATTAAAAAGGGCAGTGGCCCCAGGCAGCCGTTATCCCAGTCTCTTACTGTAAGTGTTACGGTAAATTGGTATTTTCCGGCCACAGGCGAGGCATTGGTGTCTGTTTTTCGAAAGTGCTTAATCTGTAATGAATTCATGCAGTGTGCACGCTCAGGAATGTCACCCACTCTCTGCTTGCTAACAGACCCCTTATTCCCACAGTGGTGTTTGAGTGTGATGGTCCTCGAGGTTCCGAAGTTCACACAGCCTCCATGGATGCCCCCAAACAAGTAGGTCCTGTGAGTGAGTGGCTATCTGGGTTTCAGTGCTGGAAAGAGTGGTGTTCCTCACCAAACGCCAGATGTGTTTTTACTAGATGTGACAGCAGTAATTCTGCATGATCTTGATACGGAACCCACCCTATCAGGGCAGCCTGGGTGGTTGGTAAGCATTGAAGGCCATCTTAGATGAGTCACAGGGTTAGGGGCATATGACTGGCTTTTGGTGGTGTTGGGATAAGGGGATTGGTGGAGAGCAGTGGTTACTGCAAACACTAGAAATTTATACTTTCTTCCCAAGATGTTTTGGGTCCAAGTTTGCCTTAGAATAAATTATTTTTGGTCTTCTTTGTGGACATTATTTTTGTATTCTTCCAAGAGAAATGTTTCACGTTCATGGCTGTGTGCTTTGCTTTGCCATGTCTTGACCCTGTTGGCATGACCATCATGCATTAAAATATCCACATGGACAGGTTTTCTGTGGGCCTGTTTTCAGTTCTGTGCATGAAGCATACTGCTATAGGTGTGTGGATTTCACACACAAACCTTTCGGGGCACACAGAATTGGGCAGAGCCAAGTCATGTGGGGTGGAGCAGTTCTCTGAGGTAGGACCACAGCCCCTCACAGGTTGCCTCCCTGTTATCCTGGGCTGAGAGCCTATGATTTGGGGGTTTATTTCTCTACTTGCCCCTCCTATGGTCTTGTTCTCGTGCATACATTCTCTATACAACATTCTAGCCCTCTCACCCTTGCTCTGGAATAGTCTGTCACTGCTTGCTCTCTCCTTTGCCCAGAGCAGTGTCCCAAGTTGCCTGGGTGGTGGAATCAGGTTAGTATGCCTAGTCCGGACAAGCCCAGGGACTGTCTGATGACGGTCAGTGTGGTCTAGTGAGCCCTCAAGGAGACTTGAACATCATTCTGATTTGTTTTGCTCAAGGAAAAGGTAAGAGACACAGATGGGCTTTGTCAGGGGCTGCTGCTTAGTGATGGGGTTGGGTTTAGAGCTGACGTTACCCAGTCAGGGATTTCATCTATTTTTCTAATGCATTTTTAGAATTTCTATTTGTTTTCTTGTGTTGAGAAGTTCTAATTGTTCTTCCAGGCCTTTACTTCATATATTGTTGACAAGATCCCCTGCCATTTATGACAGGGCTTTTTCCTCCAGTCCTGGAGATTAAATCCAGCAATTTCACAGTGGCTGCATCTCCAGCCTTTTTTTATCTTTCTTCTGAGATAAGAGTCTCCCAGAGAGCTGGGATTACAGGTGTGCACCACCACGCCTGGCTTATGACAATTTTTGTGGTGTCACTGTCAATAAAATCCACAGTTGTGAAATGTAAAGGAGTTAACGATGCTGTGATAATTTATGAAGTACATATAACTCTTCACTGAATACTGAATTAAAAGATTTCCAAACACACGTGACCTCTTCTTGAATTAGCTATCACTGTTCTTTTTAACAGCAATAAAACCTTCTTGTACAGCAATAAAACCTTCTTGCCACACAAAAGCCACTGGAACATGTGTGGGATGTGCTAATAGCACAGCATGCTGTAATTGGAGAATCACACAACTGGAGTGAGTCCACAGTGTTCTGTCACACAGGGAACCATTAAACCCACTAAGACCTGCCCCGCCCTCCATATTGCCCATTGAACCCAGGCCTTGCCTCTACCAGGCAAGTGCTCTATCTGCGCCCTTGGCCCTGTACCTGGCTTTGGATAAGCATGTTTGACAGGGCCAGAAAGCACCAGGTGGAGTTGTGAATACCAGATTCTTCAGCAACACAGACCTGTGGATTGGGTGAATATTAATTCTACCTAAGCCTCTTTAAAGGCATCCATCGTAGCGAGAAATAGAGATCAAAACTGCAAATCACTGAGATTGTAGTTTAAATTGTCGTGTGCTACAGTTATGCTGGTAAATTATATTTGTTACTCATCCTTGCTTCATGTGCTGTTATGTTATCCTTATTACTAACTGACCTCATGGTGTCAAGTTTACATAACTCAGTGCTGTGTTGTTGGTTAATGTGGATCCTGCCCTGACGCATACATGAGCTCTGGATTCAAGAGCTCAGCAGATCAGCTTTCTTTTCACCTGATCTACAGTGATGGTTCAGGCCAGTGTTAAGCCTAGGCTTGCTGAGCACAGCTGTCTTATAGCAGCTACTGTAATTGGTTTAATTCCATATTCAAGGTCTTGTCCTCTTATGGTACTTTTCATTTTTTGTAACCTAAAAGTAGCTTTATTATAACTGAACACTCTGGGTCTTGAAGGAAATTCCATTTTCCTTATCATTCTTTAAGAATTCCCATAGAGATTTGTTGTCCAGAAAATTGAAAAACACATCAATAATAGGTAGGGTTCTCCTTTCTTAGCCAGTGGTTCTCATTATTTACAAAAAAATCACAATTACATTATTAAATTTAGGATATGTTTCATATTTCTAGAACTATTACCTGTAGTTATTTATGTCTAGAGTGCTCATTATGTTCATCATCCGTGTTCCTTTTTATGTTTAGAGTGCTTTACTAACATTAACTAATTAATATTTAAATCAGATTCTTTTCCTGCGGGCTTTAGAAGCTGTGGATGTGGGCTTTCTTTTGGATCATACAATGCTGTGTATTCATGCAGAAATTATCTGATATGACACTTAAATGTGATGGACTTTTATACATACACATAAGAGGCTAAATTATTAAAATGAAACAGTATTTAAAAATTCAGTTTTATAATCATCATTTGTAATCATTTATTCAGTTATTAACTATTTTTGGACACCCACTATGTCCCAGGGCCTGTGTAGGATACAGGGGAGACAAGATACATATTTTCCCTGCTCCTCTGGTTCTTTTTTAAAAAATTTATTGGTGCATTTCAGGTATACAATATAATGACATTCATCATTGGAAATTTGCACCTTTACATAATCTCTCTTGGTTCTTATTTTTCCCTTTTCCCCTGCCCTCCTTTCAAAACTCCTCCAGTCCTCCCTATTTACAAAGACTTTGTTTCCATTTTTTCATTTTCTCATATTAATTCCATTGCCTTCTTTCCTTTCCCCAACTTCTCCCACTTCCCCTTCCCCATTGGACCTTTTCTTCTTATTTCACATTAGCTGTTACACCTTTTGATCCTTATTTACACTTTCAGTTTCTCATACCAGAGAGAAACTATTGGGTATTTACACATGTGTGTCCTATTTATTTCACTTAAGAGTATGGCCTCAATGTGGATCCATTTAGCTATAAATGTCTGTAGTTTCTCATTCTTTATAGCTGAGTAGTACTCCATTTTATTTAAAAAAACATGTTTTCTTTATCCAGTCTCCAGTTGATGGGCAATTGGGCTGTTTCCAAGCTTTAGCTGTTACACACTGTGCTGCTGTGAACATGGGTGCACATATATCACTGTGGTATGATTCTTTTAATTCTTTTGGCCTGCTCCTCTGGTTCTTAAGGTCCCAGGGGAGCATTAGACGAGGAAATGGGTGCAGCACCTTGACACAGTACTAACCCAGGCAGTCTCTGTAGCTCCAGGCTTGAGATTGGATTTGTGGTTGTTCTAGGCATATGGCTGAGCAGCTCTTTGGAGGCTTTGGGGTTCTCGGGTGGGGCTGGAGAATGGGTCTGTTTGAGAGATAGTTGGAGGGAGATGGAGTGTAGGAATTGCACTGACTCTGGGTTTTGACTTGAGGCACCTGGTCCAAGGGGAGGGTCCCTGCCCTGAGCCTGAGAGGAGGAGCAAGGAAGCCCATTTTCACATTAAACATGAGTTTAGATTGAGAAGCTGGTTGGGGATCCAAATAGGAATGACCTACAGGTGGTGACATATGGGCGTGGAGTAGAGAAAGCATCCTGGCAGAGGCTGTTTCTGTTTAAGAGCTGTCAACATTAAATGTATTCAAAATCAGCTAATTCTGCCCAGAGAGAACAAATAATATAAATGGTCTTGAATGGAAGGTTCTGGCCTCCGTCTCCCTGTCTTCAGCAGGTTCCTTCCCTCACCTATGCAGCAGTGACATGTACTTCCCGTGGGAATTGCACCAGAAGATGCACCTTGAGCGCTTTCCTAATAACCAGTGAAAACTCACATAGAGTGTGACCATGTGGGGCTCAGTGGGCTTGTGAGTGGCCTGGTTTTGTTTTAAGAGACTAGTTGATCAATGTTTATTCAGGGAGTACACAGGAAATCTATTAGTCTGAGGAAAGTATTGTCAGCAGTTTCCCCCTTGCTGCTCTCTGCTCAGAAGGCCTCCAGTTGGTGGGCAGACAGGTGGGGTTTTGTATATTCAACCACACAGCAGCGGCCCTGAGTTTGCCATGTTAGTGTTTAGTTTTTCTATCCTGGATAATTCTAAGAAATCACAGTGTAGTATAGCTTCCAGCAAAACAATTCAGCAGATACACGAGGTCCAATAAATTGCATGAAATCTGTCGTCAGAATAAAGGTTCTTGCTTGCACACACAGGAACTCTGAGGGGAAGCGAGATACTTTTCTTTTGCAGTGTCTTTCTCTCTGTGCGTTCCTCTGTGACTGTCTTGAGTCAAAAGATCCCGTGGAACTTTAAGAACACCGCGGTCAGGCTGTCCTTGGGGAACTTGCCTCCTAGCCCGCCATCAGGGTGGGAGGGGTGACCACACCTCAGTGTGACAGATACAGGCTAAGTGACAGAGTTGCCAAGAGGTCATGGTGTCTATTATCCACACACCACATTCTTTTGCATTTATTACAAAAGCAAAACTAGAAAAATGTAAGTGTGTGGGATCAGTGCATACCCTTAGGAATAAAACCCTCATCGCTGATGTTGCTGAATGTTTGTTACAAAGACAATCCCAACCACATGTTCCCTGCTAGTATTTCAAACCAATTTCTCACTGAGGAGGTATTCATACGTTACTTTAAATATGCTCGCCCTTCCCTCCTCTCTCCCCTCCCTCCCTCCCTCCCTCCCTCCTCTCTCCTCTCTCCCCTCCCTCCCTCCCCTCCCCTGAACATTGCACACAGAGCCTTCCCACTGAGCTTCATCACCAGCCCTTCTCATATGTTGAGACAGGTCTCACTGAGTTGCCCTGGAACTTGAGACCCTCCTGTCTCAGCCTCCCAGATTGCTGGGATTATTTATAGGTGTGCATCACTGTGCCTAGCTAAGGTACTTTTTCATGTATTGACATGATTGAGCAAATGTTTAGGTTGCAGAAATTAGCAGCATTCATCACTAGAAAGCCGGCTTTTTGAAAAAAATATTCTAAAATGTGAATGTTGACCTGTGAAAGTTAAAGTAAAACTTGGAAGGTTTGTTTAGTGTTATGCAGAAATTGCTTTCATTATCACATTGTTGTTAGACATGAGATATTAAAATAGCTTTTGAAACCAAGAACCCCCCTCCTCCCTAATTTGGGGATTTAAAGGGCCAGGCAGATTATTGAAATATGAAATCTGGTGTTCTGCTTTGTTTGTATTACTTGCCAAAATTTAAATACTATGTTTAATAGTTTATATCTTATTATTTTGTGTTATTTTAAAATAGTTAAGCTGGAGAGATAAGACCATTAATCAAAATAACAGGAAGTAAAATAAATGGCAGCCTAATTTGTCTCATTTTTAGCTACGAATATTATACAAATGCTGGGAAACTAGGTGGTGTATTTGAATGTATGTATACTTTCTTGTATCACTTTTAGATTCTTACATCATAGCAAATTTCAGAATGCAGTTAATTTGTTTAAGCTTTTAAAAACTCATAAAGCCAAACTAACGTCTTATAACATGGCTATCCATGTTCTCTTAGTAACCTACCAAATTTGTCAGTATAGCTAGTGACTTACCAGAATTACTTGGTCACCTGAGCCCCTGCTGCCCAGCAGCGTGTTGGGTGAAGAGCAGAGGCATCAAGGCCCAGGTGCAGTTGGGAGGCATTTAGCATCCTGTCCTCATACCTTACTCAAGGGCTCCTTCACAGGCTGGCCTCCTGGGAGGGTGGAGGGCTTCCTTGTGTGTCCTCAGCATTCGGGGCTTGTTTGTCTATGCGAGATTGAGTCACCTGTGACACAGGTGTGTTCCCTTGCCTTAGGAATGAAAAGGGGGAAAATTGACCTCATAAAGTCATAGAAGCCAGCTGGGTGTGGTGGCGCATGCCTGTGATCTCAGCACTAGGGAGGCTAAGGAAAGAGGGTTGCTGTGAGTTGGATCTGAGCCCGAAGACTCTGTCTCAAACACCAAAACAAAAAAGATTCTTAGGAGGCTGAAACGGCTTAAAGAAAGACAGTATTTCTTTCAGCATTACTGCTGAACAATCCACAGTTTATATCTGAAAAAAGAAAAGCTGAATTACTAAAAGCATGTCTCTCATGTTTTGGCTACTGTTTTCTTTGTAGGAAGAAAAAAACCCCCACCAACTTCCATGTGCTCAAAGTATTATAGTGGGGCCACTAAGTTTCTCTAGACCTTCTTTCTTACATATTTCTTTCATTTCTTAAAAGTCCTGTAGAGCTGCTGTATTTGAATAATAAAATGATGGCCCCAATGAATCAGTCATTTCAAACTACTCAAAAAATGAGATAAGTGAACATAGCTCCCATATATAAAGAGAAAACAGGAACTGGTGCACCTGGATTTATGGAGACAGTTTAGCAACCTTGTTCAAGTTATCCAAGCTTTGTCGTTGTAAAATAAGTATTTTTTAAAGCTTCTGAGCTCTTCAGTTTAAAGCCCCTGCCCTTTATTAGAGGGCCTCTGTTGTGGCCACTGGTGTTCATCGCCTGTCCCTTTTACAGTGCCCTTGCAAGGCCGTGTGTGTGGGTCCAGAGCAGGGGGTTGCAGATGGCTGTGTCCAGCAGGGTCTAGATCACATGACACCTGTGTTCATACATATTTTCTCTTTCATAGTCACTGGCAGATCAGTGTACTGCGTACAGGGGCTTCTGAGAAACATGCAAGTCCAAACATCCCAGCAGCTAACAAACAACATTGCCCATTTTACACAGAGTTTGCTTTCCTTTGTGAATGTGCCAAGCATGGGGTCCCCTTGAGTCCTGCTGATGATGAATACCCCTGTCAGAGCCTCCAAGATCTCTCCTTGGCTGGGTGTTGCTGTGCAAAAATGTAAAACATCTTTCTCCATCCACTGCAGGAAATTCATCATCTATTAAGGAAGTTTTATCCCATCTCGCATTTGGTGTCTGTTTCCTACATTTTAAATACATTGCTGTCTACACCACTGCACCCACCCTAACCCCTCATAACATGTTGGTGGATATCTTTTTGATTTCTGATATTTTTGGCTGGTAGGTGCTATGAATGCAGAGCCTGCTTTAAATAGGAGTTTTCTGAAACTGTTAACTAAATAGAAGCACTTAATTCATGATGTCAGTCAGATCCTGTCCCCTTTATTTCTAGATTTCCCATAGGCATAGCAGGAAACCAGAATTTTCCTTGAATGCTGTAGTTTATGTGTGTATGTTAATTTCAAGTGGTTGGTTTCACTTCATCAGGATTTTAGCTGAAGGTTAATGCAGTTAAGTAAGATTAATCTTGCCATATTGGTTTTTGTCCTCAGATGGTAAATGCCATTGTTCAAACAGTGACACTTCAAATGCCACTTCTGAGCATTCTCTGAAAGCTGCATGCTCACATTTATTCTTGTTTTATCATACAGATTAGTTGATTTTAGAATATCCCTTCTGTTTTTCCAACATGGTGATTATTTATGGAAATTGAGGTTAGTGCCCCTGAGTTCTGATAGAGCTACAGAAAAGCTATGCTTTTCTGTCTGTGTGTATGGGTCCAGATCCGGCTGTGTTTTGGAGCTATCATTCACTCTGTACTGTAGAATTTTGCTTTTTTCATCTTCACCTCAGCTCATCTTGCCATCTTTTAACCTTTTCTCCAGAGCCGATTCAGACACTACTGTGTTGATCATATATGCGAAACAGTGGGAGAAGTCTGATGATTCTTTATGAATCACTGGAAATGATTTTCTAAAGATGCCTCTGTGGATGCAGCAGGGCAAAGTTAAAATACTTGATGGTTGTATAAAATGAGCCACCACTAAAACTAGGGGACCTTAGCCTACTTGGCTGTTTGGCTTTGGTAAGGTCACTGTCACTGGTGCTGGTGTTGATAAGAAAATTAATAGGAAAAAGCACTTTGGAACCAAAAGGCAGAACTGAGCTTTTCTGTTGTTTTCTCCTTTTCTGTGCAGGGGAGAGACCATGCTAACACAGGGACTGTGCAGACAGTGCCCCTCAGAAAGGGAACCTAGAGACACACTCCAGCGCCCCTGGGCACCCTGCGATGGCCATTGGCAGTGTCCTCACAGATGTCCCGGCAGCCTCCCGGCAGTGACCATGTGCACCTCGAGGAGGAAGAACTGCAGGTCTCCTGGCCAGACACCTCAGACCGCCCGCCGAGCTGCTGCCCTGGAGCAGAGACTGAGGGAGATGCCTCTCCCCACTAGACATTTAGAGCAGTGACAACGCTATGCCTAGGATTCCCTGTAGATCTCACACATGCATATATGTGCTCTTCAAGCATAGCCCGTGTTTTCTTACCATAACCAGTGGTACTAGCAGGCACAGTGGGAGCTCAAGGCATCTGTGTTATTCAAGACAAATTTGAGACACTGGAACAAAGATACTTGTGTGTGTTGGATGGAGCGGAGAAGCTAAGCACTGTAGGAGGAGCTCCTGTGACCAGAAGGACTGCCGTGGTGGATGTCAGGACAATGATTGAGGTTGATGAAGTATTAGCACTACTGCCTCTCCGTATCTTAGTTGGTATTTAAAATAATAAATAAAGAGAGGAGGGAGGTGGCAGTCAGTGTTGTGGGGAAATCAGGAGTGAAATGGGGTGGTGACAAGATCCTAATCAGTCACAGGTTCGACCATTTCAGCCTTGGGGCCATTGCATTTCCCATGTGCTGGCCCTGCATTTCCACCCTCCGTGCTGAGTCTGGCAGAGGACACTTGTCTGTGGGAAAGTGTATGTTCTGATTTGGAAAAGAGCTAGTTGAACACTAAGAAAAGCAGGCTTCTTTGTTTATTCTCAGGACCTTTTTGTAACAGGGCTACATTCTGCAAACTGCTCACAAAGGAAGACTATGCGTTTTAACAAATTACTTAGCCACTGAATCCTCCCAATTTGGGCCTGTTTTATTAATGTCAGAAGAATCCCTGAGTAGATTTGGGGGCCCTAGATCACTAGGGTACTAATGCTCTGGAACCTTCTGCTCTCCACCTCCCCTGCCCTATTCCTCCTCTGCACCATCCCAGCAAGTAGGTGTCTTTCCGCCTTGGGCCAAGTGACCTCCGCAGGATGAGTAACTTCATTTGTTGAGCGTGGAGGTCACCAAGCCCTTGGGTGGGGGATGGCTTTATATACCTCTTCCTCAGTAATGCAAATGCAAGTTTTGGTGGTGGGGTTAGGCCCATATCAAAGGATCTTATACCATGCAGTGTACGCAATTTAAATTGTATTCTACAGATATAAATATTTTCTTTTTCTATTGCCGTGACACTATGTGTGATGGTAATATTTCTGAGAGTTTCAGATTTTTGCACATATGATTTTATGCATTATCAAAAGTTACTGCTGCCTTGAATGAAAATGTTCTGTGAAATTTTTTGCAAAAGCTTTACTAGGTTTTTTTTAATTGTGAAATTTTGTAAAGGCAGGAAATGATTAAAATGAGCATGCTAAATATATTTTTCAAAAAGCAATAATTTTACATGTACAGAAATTATCCTAACCTTTAATACTGGTGAGAGCGACAGTTTACTTAATACAGTGATGGATTAGTGCAGTTTTTGTAGAAAATGGGCTTCTGATACAAAGACTTGTTTAAACACACACCAACACACAAACCCTGAAGTGTGGTTTTCCTGTTCTAATGATTTGTTGGATTATTATATTATTATTATTATTTTATTGTTATTGTTAGTTAATGTTTGTTTTGAATTCTACTTGTTACTGAGTTTAAATTACTTGACAGTTCAGGTGACTGCGACACTTGCAAACAATGCAATGTAACTGGCTAGCTTATATATATATATATATATATATATATATTATTTTTTTTACTTATTTTTCCTGATATTCTTACACCGGATATGTATGAGAATGAGCTATTGTGTTGGTGTGCTTGGGAATGTCTGCACAGATACTGTTAAGCAACTGTCATGGATTGTTCTGTGAGGTTATTTGAGCAAAGTTATAGAGACACATTCCTCTGTCCACCTGAGAAATCAGAACACCCTTCTGTTGATTTATGTTTGATCATTTTGATACTTTCCCCAAAGTGATCATTTCTGCATTTTCTGGCTTTTGTTTCCTTGGCTGAAAGTAAACGGTGACATTTAGGAATGTGAAGGGACTAGTGATTCAGTCCTGTCTTTTTTCTCTGTGTTTTAGTTATTAAAAGAAATTCTGTACCCAAAGTGACACAAAGGTGTCGTCTACATTTTTACTGTTTCAGAAGCTGCACGGAAAAGTGCAATTGGCATTTAGAGCTGGAAGTGTCTTTTTTTCCTCAAATTTCCTTCCCAGTTGGTCTGGTGGGGAGAGAGGCGCGTGCTGGGCTGCAGCCACAGAGTGCCGTCTGCATCGGCTTCCAGGAGAGCAGCTGTGAGGATGGCTGGCTTACATGGTGATGTGCCTGCCTCTCAGGGTGCAGAATGAGGTTTTCAGAGGCGCACAGCCAGGAGGGGCCGGGGATCGAGACTTCGAGCCCTGCTTCGCGCCGGACTGGATGGGTGGCCCCCTTCTTCCACTGAGGATCAGTATTGTATTGGTTTGTTAATTTGTTTGTGTCAGTTCAACCATAGTATTTAATATGATTTGTGTTTTCTTATTTATTTAGCCAATATGTTTTGATTTGCTTTTTTTTTTCAAATGATAATTTCTGCATGATACACTTCTGTAAGTCGCCTTCTGACTGTTACAGACTTTCTACTACCTCTACCAACCTGCTGTCTCCTTGTTTCCTAACAGGATTTTTACAGTGTTGCGTCTAATGTAATTTAGACAATAAAGGGTTTGGTTGTCTACACTGCAGTGCTCCTTGTGTCTCCCCTGCCCTTCACCTTGCAGTCTCGCAGCATCCTGGCTCGGCTCGGCTCGGCTCGGCTCGGCTCGGCTCGGCTCGGCTCGGCTCGGCTCGGCTCGGCTCGGCTCCTGCCTGGTTTAGCTTGGCCCCTTGCCTTCTCACTGTCACCTTTCTCCCTCCCCACTCATATCTCTTCTCATTTTTGAATTTAAATAACACACAAATAATGAGCTTCTTAAAATCTTTCAGGTTAATTACTTGTAGTCCTTAATTCAAAGAATGAACATTTAAATTCTCCAAAAAAGCAGATGTTCATTGTCTTCTCTGGGAAATCACCCCCTGTACCTGTACACGTATTTGCCTGGCTCCTAAAAGTCTCACTGCAATCTTAGACTGATGCGTTGCACCTGTGTTGGTACAATGCAAATTTCAAGCCATGTGGATTTTGCCTTTTTGCTTCTGAAAGTATCAAGTGTTTTAAGAGGTTTCCCCAGTATTTATTTATTTTTTAAATCAAGAAAGACACTGGTTTTCTGAAAACAAGGAAATCCAATTGGGAGCTACATGCAGTCACTCCGTAAGTTAAAGGAACATGATTTTGTGATAGGCTGTCAGGATGCATCTTCTGACTTGGCTGCTGTGCACCGTGGCTAGGAACTGCTCCAGCATCTCTGTAAAGCCCTAGCACACATAGGTCTAACAGCACTACACTCCCTTAGCACACAGAGCTGGGTGCAGCAGTGGGGCAAGTTCCACCTCACTTGGTGGTGGCTCTATTGCTTCCCGTTCTTTCAACCCAGGAGAGCAAGTACAGTTTACGGGGCAATGGGGGTGTCTTCCAGATCACAGAAAGTGGTCCGCATGGAAGACCACTCATGCTGCATGGAAGACAGCACCTCCTGGACTCCCGTGGCCAGAGACTCTCCTTGCATTGCTTCTTTAGAACAAGACCACCTATCCCTGAACAAGTCACAAGGTTCAAACCCTGTTGTAGACAGAAGAAGGATGTTCTGTGTTCATAAGCTTGACTCTACTTTCACAATGTCTGAAGTAACATTTGTTGTTTTACTGCTTTTAACTTTGGTGACTTCTAATTGCAGAACATTTTATTCACTAAGGAGACAACAATAACAACAAAAATCCCAGGTGAGGACTTCCAGCAGTGACCAGGTCTTTGTTTGCCATGGTTCATGCAAACGCCAGAGCCCTAGGACATGCCTGTGTGGAGTGACCCCCTGGTCTCCCTGTAAGAGAAATGTCCATTCTTTATCAACTTTGCTAATATATACTTTAAGACAGTAAAATGCAAAAGACCATAAAATTTGTATTTCTTTTATAAAAATACAATTTATAACATTTTGTACTCTTTATATTAGAATTTGTAATAGATTGATGTATTTAACTCTATTTCTGAAAAATAATTCAATGTTTCAGTTGTGTGATAAAATATTTAGATAAAATATTCTATTGGAATTTGAAATAAATAAAAACATCTTGGAGTTCTTGAGATTTGTAAGACATTTTTCCCCTATTTTAAAGGTAGCTTGACTCATTTGACAGCTTGTTTTGATCTGTGGTTATTATAATTTTTTTTGCTGAACATAAACCAAAGAGTTAATGTTCTTTAACCATAAAAGTTTTAGGATGATTCACAAGATAATTTATCTAAGAAGATGCCAAATGGACAGTGTATTTTTTCAAATCTTTTCGAACTCTAGGATATCACTTTTTTTTTCTTTTAGTAGAAGATATTTTTCTCATTTCTTTTCCCCAGCACACTTCTCATTTCTCTGAGTGTGCAGTGTCCTAAAACATGCACTATGACCCACATGGGATATATAGGACTTGATATAAGGGGAATCCTGGATTATCCACACCTGGATGAAATCACTGCACCAAAAATTTGGGAGTTTGGCGGGGGCTGGTACAATGGTTTGCTATGTTTTCCTGATTAGATCACAAAAAGTATGGAGCCATCAGATGCCTAACTATCCTAATATAAAATATAGTTGTGTTTAAAGTTAAATGATGTACTAGTGTCTCTGAGGGCAGAAAAAGAGATGAGGTACACATAGCTTTTGACATGTGCCAGAGCAGAAAAGAGAGACCACTACATAAACTGCAACCAGGGAAACCTGGGCTTATCCCTGCTGTAATCTGGGATGAATTGCTGTTTTGAGGGGGTTTTCTGAAAGGCTGCTGGGTTTTGCAGACTGCAGCACAGACCTCATCTAACTCAAGTGAGATTTGCAACCCAGGAATTCAGAACCTCCCCCCTCCTGGGTCTCAGAATGGAGAGATGCTGAATGAGGGAAGGTCCACATTCAATCCTTAAAAGGCAGCTGACCCTTAGCTGACAAGCTTGAGATCTGTTAAGTCCCCCTATTTAAAAAGTAGCTTGACTCGTTTGAAGCTTGTGATGTGACAGAAGCGACCTGGCCCAGATCTCTGTCTCCTGATGAGTGGAGATCCCCACAACCCTGTTCATGTTCCTAGTTTCTAATTCATACCTCAAGCCTAGAGTGTTCTAGAGGTAATGGTGCTCCTTCCTCCAGGAAAGCAGCTCTTTATTCTCTGTCGGCCTCCTGTTCACCCTGCAGTGAGAACACAGTATGCTGGTATGAGTGGCCTGGAGCTCCTCCTGTGGGAACCAGTGGTTGAATGGTCCCTGGGTCTATAATCTGGGTGCCAGATCTGAGTGTGTGGTCTGTCTCACACCTGCACACATATACAATAACTGTAAAATGTTCAAATTAGTTGATATTAGTTTGCAATCAAGAGAGGTGCATTCAATGTATATTACTAATATCCGTCCCACCCCCACCTCTTTACCTTTTTAAAAAGATGAGTCTTATTTAAGGAACTATCAGAAGTATCAGAAGATCTGTGAAAAGCTCTGCCTGTGTGGCAAATTCTGGGAGGGTCTCGTTTCTTCACTGATGTCAACTGACCATGAGGCCAGAGAGTGGCTGCAGGAAAGGAAAGCCTGTAGGCAGTTCTGGAGATGCAATATCCCCCTCTGATTTCTATTAAGGGAAAAGCAAATTATACAGTAATTAAAGGTTCCTGGTATAACAAAACACAATAGATTGGGTTGTTTTTAAGCAGCAAATTTATTGCTCTCAGTTCTGGACACTGGGGGGATCCAAGATAAGGCACCAGCATAGTTGGTGTCTGGTGACTTCTCTGCCTCATAGGTGGCACTTTATTGTGGCGTCTTCACATGGTGGAAGACAGAACAAACCATCTTGGACTCTTTCATAAAACTGTTCATGAGGGCTCCATCCTGGTGACCTGATCACCACCCAAAGACTCTGCCTATATAACAACACGCTATGGTTTAGGTTTTAATATGAGAGTTTGAGGGGTGCAGTAACATTCAGATCATGGCAAACACTCTTGTTTCTTCAAGGAAGATGTGGATGTTCTCATTTCAGTGCATTAAATAGGCAAGAGTAGAACTTCAGAGTAAACTTACATGGTTACCAGCAGTTTGAGTGTTGAAGGGGCAAGGGAAATCCAGCCCATGTGTTTCTGTATCCAGGTTTGGCCACAGACTAGTATTCATGTCCCAAACAACATCCCTCTCCTCTAAACATTTAGCAGTCTTTTCAAGCCATGCTCTATGTTTTTCTGGGCTTCCACACCTAAGGATGGCCTTGATGAGCTAGAATGTTTTCAGAACAGGGTTACTAAAGTGAAAGCTGCATCTAAGAGACACTCATAGAAGTCTGGTGGAACATCTGGAGTCCTGGTGTGAGGCTTTGGACTGATCTGCTTGGCAGACCTGTCCACGCAAGCTGATAAAGATGGAGGATGGTTTACCCTCAGCAGGCACAAGGTCCTTGACCCTGCTTCCTGTTAGTTTTCAGTATTACAGTATTAGAACCCTCGCTCAGAGAACCATGTGAGACTTGCCTTATCAAAGGACTTCAGGCTTCTTTAAAATTGTACAAGCTGTATAGAAAGGTTTTTTTTTTTTCTGTACCAGGGATTGAACTCAGGACCTTGCGCTTGCAAGGCAGGCAGTGGAACCACTGAGCTAAATCCCCAGCCCCAGAAAGTTTTGATGTTGTAAATGTGCCTGGAGAATTGCCTGCTCTGGGCTAGGTACTGTGGTAGGTCCTGACATAAGAGACACAAAACAACCTGCAGTTTGGGCTCACAGTGGAGGGGGAACAACAACATAACAATGTTGAGTTCCAAGCCAGAGATGCAGATCCATGGTAAGGATGCAAGTGGGAGAGGACATACTTGGGCATCACCAGGACCCAGTTGTGTGACACCCACCTGAAACTTTTGGAAGGATTTGATTAAATGATTAGGGCAGTTACATAGATACTAGATCTTAGCCAAAAGACTGAGAAGTGATGCAGTTACATAGAATTAAAGAAGAAATTACCTGTGATATCCAGCCTGGGCTGACTTGGATAATCTCTAAGATCTCTATCCAAGAGGGAAAAGGATGCATAAATTTTTGAGAGGAAAAGTGTTTTGGGAAATAATTCATGGTGCACTTTAGAACTTGCCTGAGTTGTCAAGTCTGAGAGGAAAGGAATTGTCAGTTATTTCTTGATAACATTAACTCAAAGCGAGGCTTCAGGCAACAAGAACAGCCGCATGTCCATCAGCTGGCAACATATCTACCAAGACAGCGGGCGAGCGTGTAAAGGTGTGAATGTTTCTGAGCTGGTGTGTGTCTTGCTCAAGACACAATTCAAGGAAGCAGAGAAAAGCCAGAGGTAGACAATGAAGTGGTTCAAGGGAGAGGTGAACTTGAGCCATAGACCATGGGAGGCGGCTTGAACAGAAAGGTCATAGAAGGACAGGTGTGTGTGGCAGTTGTCTTAGTCTAGATCCAGCTGACACAACTCAGTCTTGAGAGATAGAGTGTGAAAAATAAGCAGCTGATCTTTAAAAGGACACGTACGGCTGGGAACTCAGATATTCTCATCTGTTTTATCTCATTCTGTCTCAACGCCCTCCAAGCTAGGCATGATGAA